AAAAAAAAGGTCCCAAGTTTGATCCCCAGTACCAAAAAAAAAAAAAAGATAATCCCTAACCTGAGAGGAAATCTTACTTTAACTGAGAGTAAAAAAGAGTACATGCATCAGAGGGCTTTGCTTAGTCTTAAAAGTTATGAAATAATGGACCTTTCATAGGTATGTTTTTCTAGCTTACTTCAAGGAAATTATTCAATTATAATTATTGCCTGCATCTTATATAATCAATATTATTAATTATTAAAGTATTAATAATTATTAAGGTGGGATTCCCAGGTCAGGAGATTAGTGGGGGAGGAAAGATGAAGAGTTAATGTGACTCAGGAGACTGATGTAGGAGAATCACCAGCAAGTTTGAGGCTAGTCTGGGCTACACAGTGAGTCCAAGGCCAGCCAGAGTGAGACTCTGTCTCAAAACAAAACAAAAAAACAAAACAGAATTAATGTGGAAACTGAGCAAAAATGACGGACTGAAGGTTGTACTTTGAATTACTGGAGGCGAGAGGACAAAAGCAAAACAAAACAAAGCAAGAGGTCTTAGCTATCATACACAGAAAGATTACGAAGACAACAGGAAAATCTTAGGCTACAAGGAGAGGAGGCGGGGTCCTATAATGTCATCAGCTATTAAAACGATTTCTGGCAAAGATTGGGAGCATCTGTGAAAAGACAGTGGTCAAACACAACATCTCAAAAGTGAGGCTTGGGCTGGGGAATGTAGCTCAGTGGCACCGCACCTGACTGGCAAGCGCAAGGTCCTGAGTTCCATCCCTGGTACAAAAAACAAAAGTGAGGCTTATTTCAAACTTTACCTCAGCATCTTTGGGTGCTCATACCACAGGCCCAGTGAGGACTAAGAAGCAGGGACCTGAGGAGCACTGCAGCCTCAGGGCTGTGCGTAGGCCGTGGTTACCCCCACCCAAGACACGGGGAGTTTCACAGGAAAGGCAGAGGGAAACCAAACAGAAAGGCTCAAACAGAGCAGAAATGAGATGGAATCTGGGATCCACCCGTCACTAAGTGCCACTCCCAGCAAAAAAAACCTGAAAGCCAGGGGACAGTCAGCGTGGGTGGAGTCTCTTCAAAACAGGGATGGATGTTTCAGAGAGAAAGCAGCAGGGAGACGGGCACTCACACAAGTCACTTCTGCCTGTGGGCATGGGTGGCCCCACAGACAGAAGTGACAGCATTCCACTCCACGGCAAACAGCAGCACGCCAATACTCCACCTACTCGGATGTGGGACCCAATGTGGGTGGCGGTGACTATGGGGCGCCATGCCGTCCGGTATGGTGTGAAAGTCTAAACCAGTGACACACAGGTTACAGAGGACAGACATAGCCTCCAGCCCACCCATCTTCCTGCACGCTACGGCTGCCTGCCACATGGAGCTGCGGAACTAGGGACAAACTGCCAAGGTGGGATCACCATGGGAACTGGGTGCAAGCCAGGGCTCCGTGCTCACATCAAGACGTAGGAGGACCAGGGAGAAACCGCTCAGATCTGCTGTCAGCCTCACAAGCTGCAACCTCACACACTCAACACTCAGGCGCGGCCTGTTCTGGTACAGGAGCTAGTTTCCCATGCCTGTCTATCTAATCTCGTTAATTCTGTCGGTTAGAGTCCAGCTTTACAGGCCTCCTCCTGTTGGACAGCGTGAGTGGGCAGGGAGCAGGTGCATTTCAGAAGGACCCAGAGCACAGGATGGAGAAGAAAGCCCAGCTCACTCAGGTGGATTTCTCAACAGGGATGGAGCCAGCAGACAAAGCTTTCAGAGACACTGGTGGCAGTCATTGAAGAAGGAAGGAATAAAATACAAGTGGAGGGGGACAATAAGTTGTTACTGGCAGAAGGTCCAGGCTGAAATTCTAGCTGTGTCATCTAATAGATGTGGGACTGTGGGCAGGTCACTCAAAATTCTGAGCCTTAGTTTCTACCCTTCCATATTGGCCACCTTGCGAATTTATTATGAGAATCAGAATTAGCAAAGGTGGGCCGGGGATTTAGCTCAGTGGTTCCGCCGCCTGCCTTGCAAGCATCAAGAACCCAAGTTCAATCCCCAGTACCAAAAAAAAAAAAAAAAATCATTCTACAGAATTAGCAAAGTGCTTGTCCATTAATAGCTACTAATAGCTGCTCAATAAACAGTAGTTAACAATATTTTTAATGTTGCTTTAACAAGATCTCTAAACAGGACAGAGGGGTACTAACAGACATGAACAAAGTCAGATTCATCATTGGAACATTTGGTCTATTCCTCATGCTCCCACCTGTGATCTGGTTAGGTGACTACCAATCAGCCCCATTCCCTCTATCAGGAAAGTAATAAGCAGGCTGATTTCACTTACTGTAAGACTGTATACAAAGCAGTGGGAAAATGGGGAGATAAGTATTTGTATTTAATTGCATGCATTATATCACCCAAATGGTTCAATATAATTAAGCAGTAGGTCATGTATTTGGAACTCATTTTTATTTCCTACTTACAGTTATTACTAGTAATAGTTAATGATTATTAATCATAAGCTCAAAGCTAATTACAAGTCTTCAATACAACTGCAGAATACAGCAGAACAAACGTAAGCCAGCAAATATTTATTGCTGAAAACCACTAGCCTGGATCTTGAGAGCATGAAACCTTCAAGATGGTCAGCAGGGAATCGAGGAGGATGCAACATTTCTAGCTGAGGCTGAAGAACGCAGCTTTCATCTAAGTCTTTGGGACTGCTTGACAGGGAAAGGCCTAGAAAAAGCTGGGTCCTCCATGGAACATGGCTTTGGGGACATGGAACCAAACAAGACACACAGGTAGGTATGAAGACATCAAAGACAGGTAGGAGCTGTCCACTCCTAAGAAACTCAGGGTGCACGCTCATCATAAGGAAGGGTTTTCCCTTCATCCTCTGGTATTAGAAATATGAAACAAGGCAGAGAACAATCATTATTATCCTGACTCCAAAACAAGCCAGCCCTAAAAGTTTTAGGCCACCTACCTTAAAGTCAGCCACATCACCACATCATAGACCAACAAGTGCCACAAGTCATTCCTCATAGCTAGATTTCTCCTGGCTGCAGTCTACACCTGGCAACCTCACCCAGGGCAAAGCACCAAGATGTAGACGGCAATGCCTCCAACAGAGAACCTTCTCTAGGAGTGCTGGCTGTCCCTCTTTATCTTTGTAACTTAACCCCCACATTCACTGGTTTCCTTCATATGCTCCCCTGTCCAATTACCATCTGCTAAGAGTTCATTCACACACTCTTTAATGTGTAGTAACACTCCAGTATGTTCTACCAGAAGCACGTTCATTCCCCATTGAGTAAGCCAACACTGATTTACATTCATGGTGAATTCGATTTCAAAGGCAGGATGTGGGCAACTCCTTGAGGTGACTACAGACCCTCTAAAAAGCTGGAAAATCCTATCCTTCTGGGAACCCAAACTGACATGCAAGCCTGGCTCCACACTCCTTCCCTCCTCCCTGGCAAGGCCTTCCATGCCAGGCAGGAACCACACTCACCCGGATGGTTTCCGATGCAAAATGGCCTTCAGAGATCATCAAGTTTCCAGTTTCATCCAGCTTGACGATGGCTCCAGAATTGGCCTGCACTTCAGCTTCAAAGGCCTGGTGCTTCTGAAGCTTTCCCTGGTGGGGGACCATGAAGTGAGCCCATCATTCCTCCCCTCTTCAGTCCCACCCCTCTTGTCAGGGAGGCCCCACTCAGCATGTCATCCACTCTCCAGGGCTCAGACTCATCTCTCCTGGCCTTCTGAAAGCTGGACCCATGTGGCCTCCTACCCTTTCAGATGGAAGATGCTACAGAATATCCTACTTTTACTGTTGACAGGAAATGAGGCCTTACGTGGCTACAGAACCCGAATGTCAGTCATCTCAGCACACATTATCTACTCTCACCCATACTCACAACCTGACACTGTTCTGTTTGCTACAGAAGTCACGCCCTGCTCCTACCTACATTTTGCTTCTCAATACCTCCTGTCATCAAGAACTGAACTAAGGAAAAAAAAAACCAAAAAAACCAAAAACAAACAAACAAACAAAAAAAAACTGAACTAAGGGACCGGGAATTTAGCTCAGTGGCACCTCACCTGCCTCACAAGAGGAAGGTCCTGAGTTCGATTCCTGCTACCAGAAAAAAAAACTGAGCTGGGAAGGGGCCTGCATTGCACCTTAACCAACACTCACAGTTCTCTCATCTTACACTATGTGGGTGTAGTACAGAAACTACCTCAGGCCCAACTACTGTTCCACTTGCTACCAAAATAATATTCTTAAAAACTCTTTCACCAAAATAGTCAGGTGTAGGGGCGCACACCTGTAATCCCAGCACTGGGAAGGCTGAAGCAGGAAGATTACCATGAGTTCAGGCTAGCCTGGCCTACACAGTGAGTTCAAGGCCAGCCTGAACTACATGGCAAGACCCTGCCTCAAAACAAACACAAATCAAAATCAACGAGAAGAATAGGGATATAGTTCAGTGGCAGAGTTCTTGCTGAACATGCACAAGGGTCTGGGTTGGATCCCTAGCACCAGCAAAAGAAAATTTCAATGAAAAAAAAAAGGCTTTCTCCTAAATTTGTAAATTAAATAATTATAAAATTATTATAATTTAAATGTTATACAATTCAGGCTACGTTTTGCGCTTTTTTTTTTGGTACCGGGGACTGAACTTGGGTCCTTGCACTTGCACAGCAGGTGGGGAAACCACTGAGCTAAATCCCCGGCCCACGTTTCGCTTTTAATAAGACTTCCCAACAAGTCTTGCAGGGATTCATGACTATGAATTTTTGCCAACAAGACTGGTGGCATCCCTTTCTCAAAAATTCACAGTCCAAGAGTAGAACTCAGATTTTTCCTGAATAATGTTTGGGTTACCAGTGGTTTCAAGACAACTGTTTAAGAACCATCAATTTAAAGCTTCCAGAGAAGCTGGGCATGGTGGGGCATGCCTGCAATCTCACCACTTGGGAGGCTGAGGCAGGAGGATCGCCACGAGTTCAAAGCCAGCCTGAACTACATAGTGAGTTCAGGACCAGCCTGAATTACACAGTGAGACCCTGTCTCAAAACAAAAACAAAAAAAGCATCCAGAAAAGAAAAGTTAATGTTTCCAAGGCCCCACATTCATTCACCCTTCCTAATGCACGAGGAGCTTCAGGACAGTGAGCTGGTGCCACCTTGCGTCGGATCTGTGTTCTCTCTTTTTTCTTTTTTCCTGGTACCAGGGATCAAACTCGACCTTGAGCTTGCAAGGCAGGCGAGGTGCCACTGAGCTAAATCCCGGGCCCTGATCTGTGTTCTCCTGCTGCCTGATTGCTGCCTAACTTTCTGGGCAATGACACTTGGGCTCTTGAGTTCTGGTAGTAATCTTGGGGAGATCAGACACACCTGCAAGTTGGTTGGGTCTTTGTAATTCTCATCGGATGCAATTTGAAGTTTTTCCTGAATCCATTTCTCAAGCTCCTCAGCATCTCTTTGGAAAAACTGGAATCGATAGGAATCTTCCAGCTTCTGACGCCGCAAGGTTGAGAGCTCCTTGAAGCGATGGTACCGGTCCAGGACCTGCTGCCTCCTCTCCTGGATGTCCTCTGCTGTTTCCAGCACCTTGACCCCGCTTGGGTCCATTTTCTGAAAAGACAGAATGCCCTGAGATAAGTATACCAGGACACCAAGACAGACTCTGTGGAATAAGGCTCTCTGAAGGCAAGAGAGAAGCATCAGATCCCGTAGCAGACAAATGAACCCAGAAGGCGGCCCCTCCTAAGGATCAAACAACCAAACCCTCTATTTAAAAATAGCTGTTCAGAGCTGGGCATGATGGCACATAGCTGTAACCCCAGAACTCTGAGAGCCTGAGGCAGGAGGACCACGTATTTGAGCCCACCCTGGGCAACTTAGCAAGACCCTTTCTCAAATAAATAAAAACAGGCTGAAGATGTAGCTTAGCACAAAGGCCTTGGGTTCAATCCCCAGGACCAGAAGGAAAAAAACAAAACAACTATTCACTCCACAAAACACCTTCCTACCTCCTGGGGTCCACAGAGGAGGCCCAGTCAACATGGCAATGAAATAACAAAATGGAAAAGATGTGTGGAAACTGTCAATTTCATAAGGGCTTAAGACTTCAAAGGAGAGGGCTGGGGATTTAGTTAGTGGTTCCCTCGCCCGCCTCGCAAGGGGAAGAACCTGAGTTCGATCCTGGTACCAAAAAAAAACTGTGAGGCAAGAATTCAAAGGAAACATCAATATTGGTATTCAGAGAATTACTGATAAGCTCATTCAAAAGTCTTTTCCTCTGGTCTTTGCATTTCATGGGGCAGGAGATTAGAATGAATTTACTCTTATTTAAATCAGGTTTGTTGCCTGTAAGCACTTGGGAGGCTGAGGCAGGAGGGTTGTCAGCCTGGGCTACACAAAAAGAGTTCAAGGCATGAACTACATGGCAAGATCCTGTCTCAAGAAAAAAAAAAAAAAATCAGGTTTGCTATTTTTCCAGATGTCGGCCTAATATTCAAGGAAAGTACTGACTATAAAGTAACTTGAGTCCTTAGCATCAATAAGAAACAGAATTTGGGCCGGGGATTTAGCTCAGTGGTTCCAGCGCCTGCCTCACAATCCCAAGGTCCCAAGTTCGATCCCCGGTACCAAAAAATAAATAAATAAAAGAAGAAACAGAGTTTATCCAAAGCATCTGATCTCTGTTACTCCAAAACATCAACCATACAAATCTTCAGACTATCACATAGTCAGGGAAAGGGACAGAAAGTATAGGCTTAGTTTTATCTGAATGTGCATAATGAAAAGAAAACCTGGTAAAAGAGCTGAGATGTGTTATGTGCATGTTCCAATGATGAAGGTAATTGTTATGTATGGCAAATACGGATTAATAAAAATTTTTAAAGGGGGGGGCTGGGGATTTAGCTCAGTGGTTCTGCCACCTGCCTTGCAAGTGCCAGGTCCCGAGTTTGATCCCCGATACCAAAAAAAAAAAGAAACAAAGAAAGAAACCAAATCAAAGTACACCTTGGATGGGGTGTATGAGAAACATTTTCCCCACTTAATGTCTACCTGTTATTTTGGAAAGCAAAGAGGATGCGTAGGGCCAGCATCAATTTCACTTCACTGCAAATGCAGGCTGACTGGATGGGGTGCTCTCCTGTAGCACTCAACCTGCCCCAGCTTTATACCATTGGTTTTCTGTGCAGTTTTGCCAAATTTAATATCAAAAAGAGAACTTGACCGTTTCTGTAGCACTGCAGACTATTTGATCTTATCAGGAATTAAGGACCACAAAGGTAAATAGATTAATGAAAAAAAGCTTCTAAATTCGTCAGCAATATGCGCACAATCCACTTTCCAGTTTGTACCTCGGTTTCCTGCTGTGTCTGACAATGGCAGGGGTTTACCATCCCTTGCAGGTTACAGCCTAGAAAGGGGCTACCCAGTGAGTGTAATGGTCTCTTCCAGATACTGCTCCATAATGTACAAGAGAGATACAGAAATAGTGATACCGAGAGACACGGGAGCTCATCCCAGGACCCCACTGCCTGCCCCAGCTACTGAAGAGCATGAGCAGGCTGAGAAGCGGGGCTGGGGTCGCTGAACTGCTGCCTGCACCCTGCCTGAAGGTCACAGCATGTGAGGTCTATGTCACCTCATCATCTGAGGGCGACCTCTGTGTGAAGAGACCCCTTCCCTGCAAAGGGCCATGGGGCGACACGGCCTTCTTGTCATGCCTCCAAAATCACACTCCACATAGCCACAAGGTCTTCTGTTGTATAACTGTTTTCCACATAGACTGATTTATTTTAACCATGAACAGAAATATTCTTTGTCCCATCACTCCCAAACCTTTCCAGCTCCCTTCTAACAGAGGAAGAATTTGCCTTTTTTTTTTTTTGGTACCGGGGATTAAACTCGGGTCCTTGTGCTTACACAGCAGGTGGCAAAACCACTGAGCTAAATCCCCAGCCCCAGAATTTGCCTCTTTAAGCAGGACCTTCCCCCACTTGGCCCAACACACCTGCCCGGTACCATCTCACCCACGCTTCACCCTCTTGACACACAGCAATCTTTCTTCTGTGAATTACAAGACTCCATGAATTCCAAGCCATTTTCACATGATTGTTTTTTGGCCTAGAATGGGCCAGCTCCTCTCTGCCTTGGTAACTATTTACACCTCAACACCCAGCCAACATGAGTAAACGGCAGGACCCTGTGTTCTTACTAAACTGTACTCAATGTCCCCTCGTCTTCTTTTCAGATGCAAGCACACTTCCTGCAGACCGGCAAACCACTTGCACATATTCCCCACTGTATGCTTAGCCTGGACAACCTAATCTGTGCCCGACAGAGAGGTCATTAAGAAATGCTTGTTGAATGAATGACTGAGGCTATCCTGGGTGTTCATGTGGAAGAGCTGGGGAGAGGGCCCCGGAATGAAGCTTTCCCTTCCCATATGGGAAAAGTGCCATCTACCCAGGTAAATGCGAGACTGGAGACAGGAATGGCAAACAGAACATGATGAGTGAGGCTATGGGACGAACTGTCACTGACATGAATCAGTCTGGATGACCAGTCTTGGACTGGCTGCCTGGCATGTCCCCTAGAAAGCAGCTGCTCTCCTCACCAGCACAGGGCAGGACCTTGGGAAACAAAGTTGGGAAGGCAGGGCTTTGTATCCTCAGTAGAGAAGATACTTGTTTTCTTGGGGTTTTTGTGCAGGGCTGGCAATCGAACTGCATATTAGGCAAGAGTTCTACCACTGAGCTACACCTGCAACCTAAAGCTTTAAGGTTTTTAAAACACCTTGAAGCTGGGGATAGTGGCACACACTTACAATCCTGGCACTCTGGGAGGTGGAGGCAGGAGGATCACAAGTCCAAGCCCAGCCTAGCCAACTTAGCTAGACCCTGTCTCAAAATAAAAATAAAAGGGCTAGATGTAGTTCAGTGAGAAGGCCCTGAGTTCAATCCCAAGTACAGCAAAAAAAACAAAAAAAACAAAAACCAACAACAACAAAACATCCCAAGTCCTCAAAGGCAAAAACAGATGACCTTAAGAAACTAAGTCTGCTGAGCACAGTCTCTGTAGCAATCCTTAATTACTACTGACAGTCCAGCCTCGTTCCTACTATTGCCAGTGTGCTTTCCACAGGCCCATAGGCCTCCCGGGTTCACCTTGCAGGGGTCTCCACCAGCCACAGCTCACCTTGGCAAGGTCAACTGCGCAGCTCCAAATGTCCCTATGGCAGGAGCACAGTGCTCCTTCCTTGCTGCCAACTCTACCACTTAGTGTCACACAAGTCTTTCAAGGTCTCCGGTGAATTCCTTGGCCTCTGTGAAGTCACTGCATCACAAGTTCAATCCCTGGTACAGGGTCTCGCTATGTAGTTCAGGCTAGCCTCAAACTCTCAGCAATCCTCCTGCCTCAGCCTCCTGAGTGCTGGGATTACAGGTGTGAGCCACCATGCCTGCCTGGCTAAAAAATATTTTTTAAAGACTACATCTTACTTTCAGAACGCAGAACTCAGGACCTGACTCGTATTAAAAGAGTCAACTACATTGTGAACTTGGAAATACAGAAACTACTATTACTTTTATTGTTTTTTCTTTTTTTTTTAAGGAGATGACTTCTTGCCCTATTGCCCAGGCTGTCCTTGAAATCCTGGGGTAAAGCAACCTCCTGCCTCAGGACTAGAGGCACATGCCACCTCACCCAGGCATTGCTCTATAATTAAGTAGTCAGGAGACTCAGGTAATCTAGTAAGCAAGTTGCCGAGAGCAGGGTGATCCAGGATCCTCTGGCTCCTAGATTGAGCATACAAGAACCAGGGGATTTTAACATGACTAGAGCCAACGTACTCCTTATTGGTGGCTATTTATTCACTCTCTTATTTTTCCATTCTCACGTGGAGGGAAATAGGGCGAGGATGTATTAAGCACTGAAAAAAATCAACAAGGGTGGGCCAGGGATTTAGCTCAGTGGTTCTGCCACCTGCCCCACAAGCTCAAGGACCCAAGCTCGATCCCCGATACCAAAAAAAACAAAAACAAAAATGAGGGTTACAATTATTTATACATTTCCGTTGTTCTCACCGCCAGGAAATTAGTTAAGATGGAAAAACATCAGGAAATCAAGTATCTAATTTGCTTGCTTACAAAATTTTCTCATCAGAATAACGACACTGTACAGAAGTACCTGAAAGACATCTGAAGTCTTCAGGGTTAAAGTGTATGGTATTTGACCTGTCTCCTATCACTGATTCACTGCATTTCTAAAAAAAGCCTTTTGCTGCTTTGAAAATCACAAAAGAAATCTTACTTGGAAGCAGTTCTTTATGAAGGAAAAAATAATCTCCATCACCAGGCTGCCAGGTACCACCGGAGCAAGTCTCCTGTGGGCCCAGCTGGCCCATCTACCCCTACCAATCCAGGGTGGGGCCCTGCTGAAGTTAACCAACCTAAAAGGCCCTCTTTGTCACCCCAGTGAAGTAGAACAAGTCAATTCTATACCAAGTGCTTTGGTCAGGCAATAATGGACTTTTCTTTCCTGCAGTGGATCAGCTGATGTCAGTGGGTGGGAACTTTGCCAAGTCACAACTGGCTGTCTCTGGGAGCCGGACATCT